GATTGGACTTTGTTAAAAAGCCGGCAGAGTTTTGGACAAACATGCTTTGGACACATGAAACCTCTACCAGAATGATGGCAAGAAAAAAGTATGTGTGGAACAACTCACATCTGTAAAACCCCGCAGAGGCAGTGTGATGGTTTGGGCGTGCTCGGCTGCCACTGGGACACTGGTGTTTATTGATGACGTGACACCGGACAGAAGCAGCTGGATGAACTCTGAGGTGTTTAGAGACAATCAGCCCACATCCAGATAAATGTAGTCACAGTGATTGGGCAGCGTTTGAATCAAGTAATAGAAAGAACTTAAAGTTAATTTGTCCAAATACTAATGAGTCTCTGAAATGAAGGGATTCTGTTGAAAAGAAGCTTTAGTTCCTCACATCTTTATGCAATCTTTTTATCCAACCCACCGAATTAAAGCTGAAAGTCTGCCCTTCACCTGCATCCGAGTCTTTTCATTTTTAATGTGTTCTAGTGTACAGAACAGCTGCTGAAACAAAACGGCTCTGCCCATGTTTTCAGCTAAATTGCTGGACATCCTGGTGAGAAGTGACCATCAAGGCAGAGCAGTCACAACCTGACCACTACAGCTACACTTTAGAGCAGGGCTTTTATTTCAGTATTTCCATTGACCAGTAGAATAAATGTGCTAAATATTGAGCATCCTGTAACAAATATAAATGTTGGAAAAAGTGACTAAAAAAACCCCAAACATGTTTTTTTATAAGGTTTGGAGCTAAATGTAGAAAAATGTTGCTGTTAATTCCAGCATGTTTCAGTTTACAAACAGCGCCCTCTATGGCTGCTTTAAGAAAAATAAAGAGCAGTACTTTATCAGTTTTGTTGCGGGGAGTTGTACGCCTTGGTGCTCTTGATGTTGACCTAGCAAACACTGGGCCATAGTTTTCTATCATCAGTCTGTGTGTGAGGCACTGCTAATGTATTGTCCTCGCCACTTATTAAAACATATCTAGTGTATCCACGTGTTGCTATTTCAGCCAAGTGAAAGAAACTGCAGTGAGAGAAACGTATGAACACTGAAGGTGTAACCCTGCAAGCATCAACAGTGCAAGCAGGAAAAAAATTCATCTTCCGCTTTCAATCAGGTATAATTGCACAAACTCAGGAATACTGTGGATATTAAAGGCCTTCAGCCCAGCAACCTCCATGGAAACGCCCCTTCTGGGTCCCAGTGCTCAGCGAATGAATACATCGTGAGGTGCTGGGTCCTCCTGATCCACATCAATGATCTCTGGGACTGGAAGCAGACCACTGCACACTGGGACTCAGCACCGGTCTGGAAATGGATATAATGTGAATGAATGAATTTAATCGATTTCCAGGCAGCAGCTGGGTTTTCCAGGTGTGTTTGAATCATTCCTGAGGACTTACTGAGCCGGCTGTAATAAATGAAAGTGTTGCTTTAAACATTTATTCAGATAAGAAACAGAACTACAATGAGATTGGCTTTGAGTAAGACACACGCTGTTTACACAAAAAATGTTTAACTCCAAAAAATTAAGTAATAATACTAAAAAAAAAAAAAGTAAAAAAACAAAAAGAAAACCCCCAAAACAAACAGACTTTACAACATATTGATAACAGTACTTTATCTGTACTAATATTTTAACTCTCTGGCCTGTGACAAACTATTCTTCCAACAAAACTAAAAACACCAACAAGCTCAACAATTTAGAAAATTGGGATCATTGCTGTGCGACTGCGCCG